TTAATCAAAGTTATCAAGTTTAATGATTCGTTTCATTCGTTCCTTCATACATTTCAGCCGAATGACGTCCACAATGAACGGTCCTGATTATTCAGTTTATTTGAATAAGTAAGTTACAGTCAATGAAGTAAAATAATTCTTGACCACTTTGTTTACTTGTAACTTATCCAAAATCCAAATCGAATCAAATAAGGTAAGGGAGTATTTGACTTGTGCTAAATCTTTTTAGATGGACTGATTTTCTTGGGGGATTGCTTAAGGTTTTTGCCTCTCAGAGACAAACTTTTAGGCAGAAAATTATAATGAATTCTGTCATTTGTTTTATCTACGCTAGTTTTTCGTACTATTAATTTTCAGGGGTGTCACGACGCAATTTGGCGACAAAAACTGAATCAGCTGATTACTCAATAATGGTACCTTTCCCAGACTTTCTGACACCACTATAGTATTTATATGACTATGTTAACATGGGCTGGTCTCGGCTCATATACCCATTTACCTAACACCCTGTATANCCCTGTATAAGGCGGTCATTGAACCAATTAAAGATGTTTAATTTACACACATATAACAAAGAAAATGTTTTAACCAGTGCATTAGAACATATTCTGCAGTACGGAACCATTCCCTTCTCTAGCTTTAAGCACTGCAACTCATATTATAGCCAGGACCACTTCGGATACCAAACTAACCAGTGAACGCTAAGTAGGTATGCGGAGTAAGTTAAAATTATCATTAGAGCCACAACAAAATTAATCAGAAGAAAATATGAGGTCGAAACTAAGGACCGTCTTTCTTTCAGTATCATTAAGCTATGACAGATGATAAAAATGTAATAAACATTTCTATAACTAGAGCAGTGGTATAGATCGTTTCATCCACGATCACGACAATGCGTCAATGTTTGAGTGTTATCGGTACACGCTAAATTATCCGTGAGTGTACGCACACTACAATAATGACGCTCGGATTGCTCGGATCAAACTCCCCGCACGCGTGGGACGCGTCTTCGTAGATGAAACAATTTATAACTAAAATGACCAGACCAAGACAATTTGAGGAACTTATACTGGGTTTACGAGGAATTCCAACTTTAATTACTAATATTTAGTAGTAGGGGAAAATACTACGATAAACACACACATAATAAACATAGTACTCACGGTCATTGACCCTGAAGCAGAGGTTGCACTTCCACCGCTTCCCGTCCACGAAATACACGAAGGGGTTGATGTATGTGCGACACGCGCGGCAGCGGACGATCGTCGCGCACTGGATCACTGGCAGGTGCTGGAAGAATTAAGAGAATTTAGCACCTATTCAGGGTTTAATAAGTGTCATTTTTCAACAAAAGAAATATAGCAGTCATGAACTGTATCACTGGAAGGTGCTGGAAAAGATTTAGGTAATTTAATACTACATATCTTATGCTAATTTTAATCAGGCCCAATTTTCAATAACAAAGTGTAGCCAGATTGTGGTGTTGACTGTACTTCAATAAAGGTTTACCAATTTATCAATATTACCTATTTAACTTTTTTTTATAAAAACATGCGTTTCATTTTAGTAGGTTTTGATTAGGGGTGCGAGCGCGATAAAAGCTTGCTATAGATCGAAATCAACGCGAGCAAAACCGCGGGAAAAACTAGTGACAATTATTATTAAGATACAGGAAGAGTTTTAAAAAAAAATTTAGCTACAAATCTGCGGTTTGAATAATAATGAACCTCGTGACCTCTTTCAATGTCTGTTCTCTGGTTACCTTAATATAACTTTGAATAATAAGGAAAACACTTAATTTTAATTACGTAGAGTCATAAATAAACGGTTCACACGACTAACACGTCGAAAATACTACAAACCACATTGAATCTAGGGATGACAGTGCAAAATTAATATCCTACTTTCTATTTACAAACATTCACATTACATAAGCTGTCAATGTGGAAGTTACACTTTTAACCCTTTACATGGCAGTGGGAATATAGTTCCCACCATATTTTGAATTCTATTCCCTTATCTTAAGGTCCAAAAACATTGAAAAATTTGGACTTGTAACTTGTTATGCCTGTTAAAGGCTTAATCAACATCCCATCAGCAGCATAGTTAATTCAGATAATAAACCTGTCAATATTTGTACCTAAAATTAGTCCTCAGCATTACAAAGTTCCTAAAAAAAGGCACAAAAACTGGATGACCTAAAAACCTAAATCCAGGCAGGGCCATAAGCTACAGCAATCAATAAGCCATTCATTACAATAAATGCCCTTCCTTGATAATAACGCCAAACGTTTGGCACTGCAAGGTCAGATGAATCATGAAAGTTGGAAACATGTTTGAGATTCACAGACAACATCCAACAATCTACATGTCATGTTTCTTTTAATTATATTTACATACTGATAACTAGCTCTTATCAAAAATATGCTACTGACGCCCGTATTCACAAACATTACTATGAGGTCTCACAGTGCGCGTGGACGCACAAAGGTGACACACGAACCAATCACAGAGCTCTATTCAACGCTGTGCGTTCGATTTGCTGCTACACTTAAGCAATCATCGTTTCTAAATACGGGCGTTAGTAGTTAATAATAATGATACAAAGCTTTCATAATCCAAAAAAATTAAGATCTCATTTTAAATGACATCTAATTACTAACTTATTACAGTTTACGTAGAGTAAAAAACTTACATTCAAGTCCTTGAATGGATGGATGAGTATTCCGAGGGGAAGTCTCGATTTCTGCAGCAAACTGTTAGTCTCCGGTATACGGTTTATAGTACACCTAAAGATACTGAAAAGACAATAAACAAAATTAAATAATCTAATGATTTTATTCATGATTGTATTAATGCAATAGCCAGAACAGAGTTAAAAGTATCTGAGAGGAGAGTACACATTAACAAATTTTAGCTAGGACACTTTGGACATAGGGTCTACTGCTAAATGAAGCAGATTGCAGGGACTCATTGGTTGCAAGAAGTACTAAGAATATTAAGCTGGTCCACATGAATAACCCTTCATTCTTAAATTTCTTTTTGCATAGACATACGAAATTCTATATTTCTCTCACATAACAGTAAGTATTTCGTGTTTTAAGACTGATAAGATAAAGAGAGCTGTAAACCAAGGCAACCAGTGACAGTAAGGAGAAATGTTACAAAATTTCCAGCTCTGATGAGCTTACTGATGTAAGCCATACAAGTAAACCTAACTATAAAGATGACTCATTAGAAGCTTGGACTATAGACTTTGGACTGTGACTTTTCAACCTTGAATAAAGTAGTCCACCGATTTCTCAATCAACTTAAGATCTTTCTGTATCAGAGTGTATTTTTGATTGTTACTGGTTATCATTAAGCAACTGATAAAGTAGCTAGCAAGTCTCAGTTGCGTCTCAATAGTAAAGATAATAAACAAAGGACAATTATTTCAATGCATTGTCTACTCTTCATGATATTTTGCTCAATGCAAAACAACTGTGTAAACCATTTCATTACAGGTAAAATTATACATATTTTCACCATAATAATCATTTTCAAATCATATCATACCAAATTGAAAACATTCTGATGCAAATGATTACATGAATTCAAGCCTTTTTATTTTATTTAGATTCAAGGACAAATTACTTCTTCCCAATTAGGATAAACAGAGATTTTTGCATGAGAATAAATTACATGCATACAGTAAGACATAATTTAATGGATAGAATGTTATTGTTATAAAAATTTTGCAAAAATAAGTGTTTATAAAAAACTTACTCAGGACTGCAATTCGGAGCATCCGCAAATTGGTGGCCAAGTCTTATTTCTGGTGGGTCTTCGGGGTAATCAGGAAGAATGTGCCTGCATTGCAGCAGGTCTATCATTTGGTGACCCCAGAGTTGGTCAAAGCCTTGCTTCGTCACGCTCAGCTGCCCCATCTGCTGGGTCAACGCCTGGGGTCCATACTGTTGTGGATATTGCTGTCCCATCACCGGTTGAGGTGGCATAGGTGGTTGATTGTTGGCATAATTACTCTGTGGCATTTGGGGGTAGCGACCCTGCATATTACTTTTAGGAGGCCCACTCATCGGTCCACTAGGAGGGCCAGCTGGGACCGACATTGGAGGCCCCATTTGTTGTCCCATTGGAACAGCTGGTAGCGGTGGTAAGCTCTGAGGGCCCGCTGCCAGGGTTTGTGGGACAGCAGGCAAACCTTGTGGTCCACTTAACATGCCAGGGTTCCCCATGAGGCCAGGGTTAGGCATAGTCTGTCCAGGCCCTGGACCATTCCTTGGTGGTGCTCCCATAGTAGGAGGCGGAAGTACTGGATTTACTCTCGGTCCAGAAGTAGATGGTAGGGGTGAAGGATTCATACTAGCTGTACCTGGTCCATTGACCTGACCTATTCTTGGTGGAAGTGAAGCATAAGGTCCACCCGCAGTATTGGCCAACGGTGGACCATTGAAGGCTGTCCCAGTGGGAAGGGGCGCAGTCATGAGAGGGCTATTTCTGGGTGGACCAGAAAATGGTACATTAGGTTGACTGGTTAAAAGGCCAGGCTGTGGGCCAGGAAGTTTTGAAGGAATAGGTGCAGGTGGACCTTGCTGAACAGGCAGCCCTTGCTGTATAGGCGGACTGACCACCCCTGGTCCATAGCCAGGGCCTCCACTGGGTGGCCTCATCCCCATTGGTGGTGGACTAAAAGCATTAGAAGTAGCTGGATATGGACTCGAGGTTGGAGGCATAGGTGGTTTAGGAGGCCCAGTAGGTGGACCATTCATGAGAGGTTGATTATATTGACTAGAAGGAACAAGAGGTGATGCATTGTCATTAATTTGCCTCTGCATCTGGTTGAAGTTGGGTGGATAAGGAGAAGAATTAGCATTGGAGACCGAACTTTGGTTAGCTGAGGAGAGAGGAGGCAAAGGATTGGGGTTTGGCACACCTGTAATTGGCTTGCCCAGGGGGGGACGATTGGGAGATGACTGGAAGCCAATCGGTTGGGGTGGCAACATTCCTGGCTGGTTGAAGGCTGGTGAGTTGCTTCCACTTTGATTGTAATTGTTTACACTGTGTAGAACACTATTCTGAGGCGTAGATGCTGGTAAATGAAGAGGGCTGTTCGAATTGGCATCTTGTTTCAGTCCTGCATATCCTGGTGGCAACTGGCTCTGAGGCACTTGCCCAAATTGTTGATTTTGGGTGAACATTTGCGGCCCACCTTGCGCGTTAGCTTGGGGCGGTCCTGGGATATTGTTGTACGGATTTGGTGGTAAGTTGGACATGATTTGTCAATCTGGAAACAAAACGTACTTGGCTCAGATTCATGTATAGTTTTGTGCTCACGGTCAAAATCGTTCATTGCAGAACGCAGAAACGTATTCGTCTTAAGATAAATACCGTGTTAATAGCCTGGTATTATTTAAAACATGCTAATTCACTGATGAAATGACGGAAGGGCGACTTGCACTCAAACGACTTACCGTAGTCAGAACTAATTCTAGGCACTAAGAAACAGCACACGCACTTTTGTTCAGTTATACCATTCTCACATGTTCAGAAATAAGGCAAATTGAAGTAATTTTATTTAATACAGAATAAAAATACGATCCTGACTTACGTGGCTGAGCAATTTGCAGCGCCCTCTGGAGATTGATTTTTTGACATGTCACGTCAACGACGAGCATTTACGAAGTAAGTATTTTTCAGATTAAAATAAAAAAGTACACATTTATTCTGACAGTTAAATAAGTAAAATAATTTTCTTTGCAATTTTAATTCAAAAAATAATATCATTATTGGTATTTCTTATAATATACAACAAGTTCTACCGAAATATATTTTTATAGTTTAAATAACATTATAGTTATTGTAACTATTTTCGTAAATGCTTGCATTCAAAACTTTCTAGAAATTGAGAAAGAAAGTAAAGGAGCTTAACTTTTGACCATTTTGACGAGGTTTTTAATAAGTTTTGTTTTCTTTTTGTGACTGATTAATTTTACAACAACGCAGAATGATATGTTGGATAATTATTATGAAATCGAATCTTCGAAAAGTGGACTGATGAAGTAGGTACCTACCTACCTACACAGGCCACAGTTCCAGCACAACATGGACCTATAGGTCCAAGCAGCCCAACAACATAATTTGTGGTTACTTCCAGCTACCTATTTCCGTTTTTTGTCTCGATCTCATCAAATATTGATCTTTGCCTACGACATGACTGAAAATGGGTAGCTGGAACTGTGGCCCATAGTACCTATCTATAATTTCCCCGTTTTAGTTTCAAAAGTGGGATAGAAACTATTCCTTTCCTGAAATACAAACCACAAACTCTTGTATTAAATTTCATCAAAATCGTTTCAGTGGTTTAGGCGTAAAAAAGTTACAGATACCTCTAATCCATATTTGTGTACAGATACAGTAGGTACCTACAGACAGTTACTTACTTTCACATTTATAATATAAAAAAATACATATGATAATTTATTTTATTATAAAAAAAAAGTTATACAACAAGCTTTTTAATTTTATATTTTTAAGTAGGTAAGTACCTTTGATTAATCAAAATGTGTTTAAATTGTTCTGCAACAGTTGCTCACTAAAAACACTCAGGCACTTGTTACCGCAAAAATTAAAAAAATAGCCAAGTGCGTGTCGTGCCATGTGCAGTGTAGGGTTCCATAGTAGTTCGTCGTTACCAAAAATATTTCAGAAGGCAAGCAATTTTCTAATACATGAGATGAACGACAACTATTAAGTAACTGATCTATCTTAACCGTTTTACCTATAGTTTTCCTTGAAAGTTCATAAAAAGCACTATTATTATGAATTTTTCAAGCCAACAGTATAGTTTTTAGAGTTGGAGATGCCATACTCGAACAAAAATTGGCACTTTAAACTTTCATATTTTGCAAACGGATCCCTATAAATCGAAAAATAGTCTTAGAAACCCCTAAACCATTTTTAAAAGACCTATCCAACAACGATACCCCACACGATGGGGTAGAAGTTGTAAAATAATCATCCCCACTACATTATGCTTTACATGCGAAGGAGCTATCAGCTAACTACCCTAATAATTTATTTTTCAAAATTTTATTCTACCACTTTGTCGGCGTGACTATGTACATACCTCCAAAAAATTACTGCTCTCTAGTGCCAATAGTTTCCAAGCAAAACCTAGGACGGACAGACAGACAGACAGGACTACGGAACCCTAAACCCTACAGGAACTTTTCGGTTTGGAACAAAACTTGCCACCACAAGTTTCTTCGACAGATTTTGAAGTTCGGGGATGTATTTATCAATTTTTGGACCTGTTTGTAAGACTATCCATTCACATAGGACACGGATCGCAAATTCAAATAAGTAGGTTCCGACTCTGATACTTCGAACCCATATTCCATGGATTGGGATACATTGCGTACTTATTTATTTTGTCATACCCATGGTGTATAAGTGGTATAAGTAACTATGTAATACAGGCGAGTTTGCAACAAAAATGTAGTCTGATGGTGTCGTCTGTTAGCCTAGGCGCAGACCACCGACTTTTAGTCGGCCGATAGTTGGGCCCGATTTTAATTTTTATGAAAATCAAATCGGTGTAATGTGCGCACTTCCATACATGCCCAATTGCCCGACTAAACTATCGGCCGACAAAAAGTTGTCTGCGCCTAGGCTTAAACTTTAGTACTTATAAACAGGGTGACTTGAAACGAGTTAACATCCTTGTAAAGGGTTATTTGAAGCCAATTTTCAAGTTACAGTTATATGTATAAATGCCTAGACGAAAGTCAACCATTTATAAGATATTTTATTTTATTTTTTATGGAAAGTACAAGGATGTCACCATATAGTTATGGCACAAAATATAACAGAAGGTAAACTCATGTATGTACCTCGCTTTGCATACCTCTCTCGCTCGCACGCTCGGCCGTCGCGCTAGGGTTGTCTTGTCATGAGTGTTGCGTTTATTTCGTTATCATAGAAAAATGTTACTCTTAATACTATGCAAGAAAGACAATAACAGATATCCACGTATACTTATTTATATTTAGTACGTTATTATAGTAATAGTTTGCAAACAAATACACGAGAAGGAAGTAGTATTTAGTTGAGTGGTTGACACTATTATCCAACTTAATATTATAAATGCGAAAGTTTGGATGTCTGGATGTTTGTTGCTCTTTCACGCAAAAACTACTGAACGGATTTTGATGTAACTTTACAGTATTATTGTTTATAACCCTGAATAACATATAGGCTACAATTTATGACGATCTGTGACAAACTAAATTTCACGCAGGTGAAGCCGCTGGCAAAAGCTAGTTATCCAATAATTCCTAAAACCTCTAAAACAATTCGATATTCCTAATAATTGAGTTGGTTTCAATTTCAATTGAAATTCAAATAAATAACTTACTTACCTCCCCGAATCAACTGGTAACTTAAAAAATGAAAATTCGGTATTTAATGATGATTTTAAGCAACCAAATACCGAACAATTATAATACGACTTTTTCTGTTCACTCATTTTCGTCAATTTCGCAAAACAAAATAATATCACGGGCGGTTGACCGGCGCGTGACTCAAGCGAACGTGTGGCGAACGTCTGTCGCGCCACGTCGCGCTCGCATTCGTCCAAGACAGTCTTGCTTAGAGCGGTGTCTATGTGTGCGTGGCTCGAGCGCGTTTAGTATGGAGTTTGTCTTCTGTTATATTTTGTGGTTATGGGCTCCTCAATTTATTAAATATTTTAAATTTTAATAAGTGTAGAGTGTAGGTAGGTAAACTATAGAAGTGTGTAGGGCATGAAGATTAAATAAAAAAGACCACTTATAAAAATTCAAACATTGTAATTCAATGACAGTTCAAATCAAAGATTTAGTCGAAAACAAAATTTTAACAAAGTACTGCGTAAGTAAGTTTAGAATTGATTGGATAAAGCAACCCAATAAAAATATAATTAACATTCTCAATCACAATGACATTCATAAAATTTGTGAAATTTAAACAATAATAAAATAGCCAAAAGTGATGCACTATTAACCTTTCTCCAATCAACGATCTACGCAGGGTACAGTCTAGCAGGTCTACACTTAACATTATTTCAACACTTCTTTTAGCAATATAAAAGTATTCAAACTGATCACAATGTTATGGCAGTTCCATGGAACCCCATGCAACACTTAACTTACCAACACAGCTCGAGTCAGATATATATGACATTCAAACATCAGCTCAAGTGCCCCTCCGTACAGCACAACACGAAGCAATTTATTCTTATTACATGTAAACCGATCAAAGTAATTACGCGAAACTACAGTTACACTTGCACCTCTTAGTAAAAATGTCACATATTACCCTTAACTTTCTTATATAAAACACTGTCGATTCAATCTTAATTAATGAGATGTGGATTTTGTTGGTAAAATGCAAAAAAAAAACAATCACATAAACAGACTAGTATCCGAAAACTCCATCAAAAATTACATAATTTCTATTTATTGCAAAGGATAGGCCACGACGAACCAAAGGCGATTCACACATTACAAGCTCTCGAATTTATTTGCTTACGGATTTCTGAAATCCAAAAATAATAGTAAATTTCATTTCATCTCTATAAAGATAATAAAGTATGTAGATCGGCACAACTATCTCAATATAATACGATTTTTATCGACCGTCGTCGGTCTCAACATAACTCACAAATACTCTACTACTCGATAAAAACTATTCAGTCGTTTTTATTTATTCATAAAAATATATCTTTAAAAGGCTCAAATGAAACCGTTACAGCTCTACGAGTGATCTATCACTGGTGGAATATTTCCATTGGCACAGTCTACGGGGCCCCTCCCCTCGCACACACTGCGCGACCGGCAAGCAAGTCGCAGCACGGCACATCTACCCACAATGTATAAAGGTACGTCATTACGAACTTTTCAAGCAGGATTACCACGCGCCCGCCTGTAATCGTTCACGCAAAATTAGACCTTGGATTCATTGTGCGTAGATCTATCTCGGGCTGTCTGACTTGAGTATCCCTACAGCCGAATGCTCATCAACGCGCCACCAGACCGCCGCTCTCTAATCACTATTCTCCCGCGTGACGTCAACGTAAGGGAATCAACCCGCAACCGGCGCGGAGAGTACGCAGGATCGATCCGGCATCGTCACGTATTTTACAAATCACAGTCTCTCCCTTACTCGTATTGAGCTATACTGCGCTAACATCACGCGATTGACAACGCTTTACGAGTAAGAAAAAGATACAACACGATACGAGGCCGGAACGATAAACATGCTTAGGATCAAAAACGGCGATTTGGCGGCGGATCAACAAACATACGGCATCCCTACAATATTTAACAATAAGTGGTCTCAGATTGTGTCAAATGACTCCACAGGTTTCTCATCGTCCATAAATCAATATCTAATCATTGTACGATACAAAAACTTATCCAGAAGAATGTAATTGTTGCATTCAATGATTGGATATAATTCAACGATGGGAAATCGGCGATTATGATTTCATCATTGACCGGCACTGGTTTAATATTAAATCGATTTTTGCCATTCGCGTCGTCACAGTGTATGCACGCTAGATAATTCCATCGCACTAAGAGATTCTCGATGTTTCTTTCAAAAACTTTATAGCTAAGCACAGCTTTTGAGTATGTGAAAGAAAAACCGAGATATCGTGTCAAAGTTCGGCCCAAATCCGACCATTTGTAGTGTCAACTCACGTAAATTCTAGTATGGGAAGCGTTGGGCTAAAATGCAAAAACCGTCGATTTGACGCATATTTTGACGATTTGACGACTACCCTCAAACCCTCATACAGGATGAAATCAAACACGGCCACAAATCATTAATAAACAAGAGTTCATTATTATAAACACAGCCAGTCACGAAGAGATAACTCATTTATAATAATGAATGTTCACTAAGCTGGCTCATTTTTGATTCCACCCTGTATCTTCATAACCGATTCTAGAACGGACGGATTCATGACACTTCAAACGACCGGATTCAGACTGCCTCGTAATCACTAAGTCGACTGTGCATCTGAGGTTTCGTCTGCGTATTAGGAACTGAAGTAACGCCTATTAAGTAAGACATGACATTTCAAAACACCTTCCTTACTTAAATAAGTCCACAGATCTACTCGTGGAAGTTTCTTAGCTCTAGATATCTACTTCGTAAATTTCGATATATCGACTTTATCCATCTCTCTCACTTTTGCCAATATTCCATGGTGAAGAAGAAAGTTGGATAACTTGTTGAGTGCAATCGACTTACGGAACCCCCGTATTGAAACCTCATAGGTCACGTGATGCAAAGGCGGTAAACATCAATGTACGGGTAAAATAAAATTAGTCGATTGATATAGCCGTATGTCGAGTTACACCCTGATCTTATTGCTACTTCGATCTTACGTCCAGCGGAATTGAAATCGTTGACTCGCATCGGTCTTCGGTCGCGTCATCCGTGAGGCATAAAATCGTGGTGGGTTTGAAGTTACTGTACAGTCTAGAGGTCGGGGCTGCGCACGACAGTAGCAGCAGAGTAAATACAAATGAGTAGGTCATCTTCATAGAAACGCACGGGCGCGGTTTGTATGTGAGCGCGCCAACAAGTATGCGGCGACACACTAACAAAATTTAGCGGGGATTAGCGGAGAGCCAGTCGTAGTTGCGCCGAATGTTGTCAGTATGTACGTGCGCGCCGCATACTTATACAGGGTGTTAGGTAAATGGGTATATGAGCCGACACTAGCCCATGTTAACATGGGCATATAAATGGTATGGTGAAGTCAGAAAATTGATATCATCATTTAATTTTTTTAAATTTTCATACAAAATAAATTTTATAAAATCAGATTTGTATGAAAATTAAAACAATTAAAATGAAGATATCAATTTTCTGACTTCACCATACCATGTTAACATGGGCTAGTGTCGGCTCCTAACACCCTGTATTGGCGCGCTCACATACAAGCCGCGCTCGGTGCGTTTCTATGAAGATGACCTACTCATTTGCATTTACTCTGATAGCAGACGGGGAGGGGGAGGGCTAGTGCACGGGCAGCGGCTTGGCCTGCATGCGCCGACGCATGAGCTCCGACTCAGTTGGCGGAGACAGCCCGAGCGGCTGGTTATACTCCTCTCCGCACCGAATGTTGATCTTGCGGACGGCCTTCTCCGCTTCGTCCAGCTCCGCTATGGCCGCGTCCGGGGTCGGGTAGCAGGACTTTGTGTTCCGGACGGCGGGCGGACGCTCCATGTACGAGTAGTTCATGGAGAAATGCTGTTGGATCACGCGGTTGACGGCCATCGCTGACTCCGCGAAGTTCGACAGGTTGCGCGCTGACATGTTGCTGTTGACAAGGAAAGGTAAAAATAAATACATAGTCACTAGAATTTAAAGTATGAGACCGTAGTGAAGCGGCAAGACAAGATGGGCCTACGTAGAGTTATTTTAAGCCTTTAAGAGCCTTGTGACACTGGCGGATTGCAAGCGTTTTCAAAGCGGAGCGGCGAATACGTCGCAAATTCTCAACGTCTCCACCTCGAGGTTTCGCCTCATGTCCGCCGCGGAGTCGCGGCGTCTTCGCCGCGCAAACTCGCCGTATATGTGGCGTCGCAATTCCGCTTTAAAAATGCTTTTAATCCGCCAGTGTGGCAAGGCCCATACCTCAAAATTTATTCCTTATTGGATTGCCTACTATTTCTTATAGAAGATGTCTGTAGATAACAGCGAATTTCTGGAAGGCAACAACGACCTGCTGGGAATCAGTAGCAACCTGCTTGTAGTGGCAACCTCCTGAGAGGCAGTTCTAACCTGCTGGGAGTATCGAACTGATGGGAGACAGTGGTAGCCTCCTAGGGAGACAATGTTAACCTGCTGGGATAAAGTAACTAAAGCCTGGTCCGTGATCATGTAGAATCCCGTCCAATGACCCCACGCTGCCCATCCTTGTCACTCGCACGTAATTATGTTGCTGTCGCGCTCGCACACTCACTGCGGGCGCGCGTCGCACAGTCGCGACAGCAATATAATTACACGCGAGCGATAAGGATGGGTAGCTTGGCGTCATTGGACAAAATTCTACGTGCTCACAGACCAGACTATAGGGTTGTCACACTCACCGCTTGATGTTGGGCGCGGTGTACAGCGGAGTTGTAGGAACGCATTCTGCTAGGAATCTTCTAGGGTTGTCACACTCACCGCTTGATATTGAGCGCGGGCGCGTGGCGCTGGTAGACAATGGTGACCTATTGGGAATCAGTAGCGAGCTACTCTTCTAGGGTTATCACACTCACCGCTTGATGTTGAGCGCGGTGTGCAGCGGAGTTAGGAACGCTAGGAATCTTCTAGGGTTACCACACTCATCGCTTGATGTTGGGCGCGGTGTGCAGCGCAGCGTGTGACGCATCGCTATACAAGAGTTGGAGTTAAAGGAACGAGAGGCGGGAAGTCCCATTCTGAATCTTCTAGGGTTGGCACACTCACCGCTTGATGTTGAGCGCGGTGTGCAGCGGAGTGTTAGGAATCTTCTAGGGTTGCCACACTCACCGCTTGATGTTGAGCGCGGTGTGCGGCGGATCTGTTAGGAATCTTCTAGGGTTGGCACACTCACCGCTTGCTGTTGAGCGCGGTGTGCGGCGGATCTGTTAGGAATCTTCTAGGGTTGCCACACTCACCGCTTGATGTTGAGCGCGGTGTGCAGCGGAGTGTTAGGAATCTTCTAGGGTTGTCACACTCACCGCTTGATGTTGAGCGCGGTGTGCGGCGGAGTGTTAGGAATCTTCTAGGGTTGTCACACTCACCGCTTGATGTTGAGCGCGGTGTGCAGCGGAGTGTTAGGAATCTTCTAGGGTTGTCACACTCACCGCTTGATGTTGGGTACGGTGTGCAGCGTAGTTGTAGGAACGCATTCTGCTAGGAATCTTCTAATCTTCTAGGGTTGTCCCACTCACCGCTTGATGTTGAGCGCGGTGTGCGGCGGATCTGTTAGGAATCTTCTAGGGTTGTCCCACTCACCGCTTGATGTTGAGCGCGGTGTGCAGCGCGGGCCCGGCGGCGCGCGGGTCGGCGCGGCGCAGCCAGGGGTGCTGCAGCACGCGCTCGGCGCTGAGCCGCTGCGCCGCCTCGCGCACCAGCAGCTGCCGGATCAGGTCCTTCGCCTCGGGCGAGATGTGCGACCACTCCTCCGACGGGAACGAGTAGCGACCCTCCTGGAGACAAAGGCGAGGTCAGTATTCTGTCCGGAGTCCGGAGGTCACGAGCCGGAAGACGTAGCGTGGGCAGGCCTCCCACTAGGTGGACCGACGATCTCGTGAAGGTCGCGGGAGGTACCTGGATGCAAGCGGCGCAGGACCGGTCTTTGTGGAAATCCTTGGGGGAGGCCTTTGTCCAGCAGTGGACGTCTTTCGGCTGAAACGACGAACGATCAGTATTGAGCTTCGAGTAAACTGTTTTACAGCCCTGAACAGTGCAAGGTCGGAACATCAACATATTTTGGAAAACCAGTTTTAAGAGACTTCTTCTGTCTCTCTTTCAGATTATTTAAGTCTAAGGCCCAGAACAGACGGTGAAAAGCAACTGCAACGAAACTGCAACTTTCTGATGATTCTGATGAATGAAACTGAAACTGAAAGTTTCAAGCTGGCCGCGTCATGTGTGGTCTCTCAACGGACGCTATGGCAGAAACTTAGATGCAACTCAAAAGTAACTAGCAGTTGCAGTTTCGTTGCAGTTGCGTTTCACCGTCTGTTCTGGGCCTAAGGATCCCCTATTTTGAAATTCAAAAATGTGAATTCGGTGCTTACAATGGGGGCGAAATCACATTTTCAGCGCGCCAGCGCATAAAGCCCTTTTGGCTGCAAAAGAGCATCCACTATAACCACATGAGCATATTGTGTCATGTGTGATATATTTATATGTGACTGTATTCGCCCTAGTGAAGGTCGCGGAAAACGCCTGAATGCAGAATATGACCGATCGTTGTGGAAATCCTCCACGATCTTTAAATTCTTCGTTCACGCTCACTTCTGTGAACGTCTTTTGGTCGAAACTAACAAAGTCACTGTTTTCTAAAGCCCGGTCTGTGAGCACGTAGAATTTTGGACAAAATTATACGTGCTCACAGACCAAACTACAGTTGTTATGGAAATCCTCCACAACCTTTGTATAGCAGTGGACGTCCTTTGCTCAAACAAAGTCACTCTGTATTATAACACACACCTGTATCGAGGTGAACAGCAGGTCCTGACAAGCGCGACAGTTCTCGCCGCGCTCCCAACCACAGTCAGCTCCACAATCGGCCCTGAACGGCGGGTAGCCGCACAGCAAGATGTAAGCGATGACCCCCAGTGACCACAGGTCGCAGCGCTTGTCGTAGTGCGCCGCTGCCGAGCCCGCGAACAGAGAGACCACTTCGGGCGCCATGAACTCCGCGCTACCAACCTGGGGACAAGAGAAACGATGTGATTTGATGGTTTTGATAAGATTTTAAACTTTCGCGTTCCATTTCCACGAGCAGACCACGGCTGTAGAAACACAGCCAACTTATGTACAATAAGTAACTGATTTATAGATCGTTTCATCCAACGAAGACGCGCCCCACCATTCTTCCGTTGATGTTTGAGTGACTGTTATCGGTACACGCTAAATTATCCATGAGTGCACCCACACACTAATAATGACGCTCGGATTGCTCGGATCAAACTCCCCGCACCTCGCGATCTATAAAAATGACGCGTTGAAACCCGTGTTTCTCTATGTTGAGTTAACGTAGAGATTCCAGAACAACAAACAATAAGTGCTTTTATTTTCCTATTTTTGAAGATAGGAGATTCACTCTTATCTCCCAAAATAGGAAAATAGGCAATAAACTAGATAAGTAGGTGTAAAATTAAAAAATAAGGTACTTTTTTGTTTAAAATAGCAGATATATTGAAATAAGTGTTAGTGTGTGATAAGGGGACAGAAAAAAATGTCGAGACAGTTTAATTCTAGTCTAAAAAATGTAGCTGCTAACCTTGTTCTGAAATAATAATGTAAACTTTACAGTTTACCAGTTCGTGATCACCATTGTTTTAAATGCAAGTGAAATGCCAATATGTTTTCCAAATTCCAATGCAATAAGATAAAGACGGTGCATTCAAATTTACTTCAAGGTGACACAGGACTATTCTGACTATTTCAGCTTATATTAAAATGAAGTTACCTACAGACTTGCTACTTTAAACAAGTGGTGATATCACCTCCTAAATTGGCAAGTATTTGTTCGACTACAACTTTAAACGTAACCTAAGCGGGTTAAATATTGCACACAGCAATGTGAGCGTTACGTTAGAGATTATAGGGGATTATCCATGGCTAAGACCGATTTATCTTCACCTTCAGGTTAATCCCGTTAAGACAGTCACTCGGAAGCATACAAATTATGTAAGTACCCGATATAGGTACCTATTATATTAAAAGGCACCGGCGATAAAGGTCACAATCCGTTATCAGTCTAAGATATTCGTAAATATACATCGCATATATCCCAAGGCTACTCTGATAAACAACACTAACCTATATTGGTCTACGCATTAGCAAGGATTAACGATCCACTCGAATCGATAAAGATACATATTTTATTGAGCTGAAGCTAAACGTAATCTTGTGCAAGGAAAATAAGGAAATATTCAGTCTATGTAATAGCTTCCTAATTAGGGCTCCTGCACACGACGTCGCCGCTGGCGAAATTATGCTTTGATGGCGCGGTGGCGGCGCGGCTGCGGCGGCGGCTTTACTCGGCGCGTATAAACAGTGTAGGGGCGCAGCGAGACGGCGCGGCGGCGGCGCGGTGGCGCGGCGTCGTGGGCAGGAGCGCTTATTCTAATGTATTGTTAGCTTATATGATTTGTTGATGAGAACTGTGTAAAACAAATCAACAGTGAAGTACTTTATGCCATCATTAAAATCTTTTCAGTATCTTCCGGGAAAAACATCTAGCATTTCCGTAGAGAGCAAAGTATCTACATATTTAATTTGTCTTTTATGGTACGGTAAGACGGATATTAATAAATTGTACATACTCATCTTGACGTAAATAATACTCAACTCATATGCAAAATGTATGCCAAATTTATCATCATGCAAACGAAAACATTTACTGATGTACTTAAACTATCTGAAATATTATAATTGTAATTAAAAAGATAACTATTTTAATGTGATAACGAGATGATAACTCTATCTAGTTTATGTACCTACAAAATATATTAAACACACATAGTTATCATGTAAAATTAACTATGTAGGCACTTAAATACATTGTTTTATTCCAATTTAGATAGGAAATTCATTACAGTCTATGCAAGGTTAGGTTTGATAACTTTCTATAGCACTTTGACTCACAATTTATTGGACACCTGATAATTAAATCGATCAAATTCATTTACGAGCTACTTATTGAAATGAGTCTGTATTATTTATCATTTTTATCATAAAAATAGAGGAGAAATTAAGGTCTTGACATATTTAAATGAATCATATTTCAATAATTATTGCGTGGGATGGATATTTTAAAACAAAACGTTATCGAATTAAAAGTTCATAGTGGCAAAACTATGACGTGAAAGACAGTCGAAAGCGAGACAAAATATTCTTATCATTGCTAAAGTATCACGTGGGTGTTCACGTGCTTCTGTTTATTGTATGCAAACAAACTAGGTAAAATCAGTAATACCTAACAACAGGTTTTAAAAAACCTAACTCAGACTCACATGTTACTGCAGCTACAAAAAAAACATTATGTATGTATGGCGTATGCATCATAATGCATCCACAAGTTTTGAAGTTCTGCAGCTTCGATGGAAAATTCTTTGTAAAACGAGCTGCGAGGCGTGTGGTAACTTAGCAAATAAAACTGTTTACTAACACTTAGTTTCAAGTTAAAAACTATGTACTAAAGTGTACTAACAAATGGCAATATTGTCTCAGATAAACGTTTTGCGAATGTCACATTTCTTAAATAATACAATTTCTTTCTAAATTTTTACCCTGGCGACCTTTTCTATTCAGCGTCCTAAAACCCTATACATAAACATTACTCACACTACAAATAAAAACTAAAGACATCGACGATGTATCGACATTGCGAGGCTGCATACTCCCTGATCAAACGAGAAAACTCGCAAGCAGTCGCAATATTGATACACGCCTTACGCTCGTATTCACAAACATTACTATGAGGTCTCATAGTGCGCGTGGATGCACAGGGTGACACACGAAACAATCAAAGAGCTCTATTCAACGCTGTGCGTTCGATTTGCTGCTTCACTTAAGCAAGCATCGTTTGTGAATAGGGGCGTTAACAAGTAGGGATGTATTTAACTCACCGGTGTCATAAGCTGCGGAGTGGCCAGTGGGCTGGCAAGACTGGAGGTGAAGCTGATCCCGCTGCCCAGATCAAAGTCGCAGATCTTGACCGGGCACAGTCTATCAGTGTGCACGCACAGAATGTTCTCGGGCTTTAAGTCCCGGTGCGCGACGCCCTTCCCGTGAAGGAAGTGCAGTGCGTTGGCAAGCTCCCGTACTATCTCCGCCGCCTGCGGCTCTGAGAAGTAGTGGTGCTCCTGTATGCGGGACAGCAGCTGCCCGCCGTTGATCTGGAACAAGCGAGAGTGACACTTGAGTTTGGCTGTTTAAAGTCCATTATAAATAGAAAGACAGGGACAATACAATAATTAGTATAGATCGTTTCACCCACGAAGACGCGCCCCACCATTCTTCCGCTAATGTTTGAGTGTTATCGGTACACGCTAAATTATCCATGAGTGTACGCACACTACAATAATGACGCTCGGATTGCTCGGATCAAACTCCCCGCACCCCGGGCTTCCCTCGACCAAAAATTGCTGGGGCGAAAAAAAAATAGATAATGCAACCTAACGATATGGAAGAAGGATATTAAATTTTCTAGTAGGAAAAATCTACCGCTTCAACACTCATAACTCATCGAAATCGAATTAATCATTTATTAATTAGTGGTAAATAATATTAATAGAACTTGACTTTGACTGCATAAAACACAATAGAGAGGATATATTAAATTTTCCGGTAGGAATAGTCTACCGCTTTAACACTCGTAAACAGAATTAATTATTAAGCCAGTAACTAACTAGTAATTAAATATAGTAGCTACAAACTTTACTTGAAGCCCACAACTGAAACAGAGAAATAAATAGGACTTTCATTCCAAGAATTCAGAGGCTGGGTATAATAATACAAGAAACCTCATAACACCTGTTCTCGCTGCAATAATAATTCCATCGTCGTTGGCTCATGCAGCTGATGACCCACATAGAGCCGTAGGTATTTTATATTATAACAAAAGCTGGACAATGCCCCCCAGTTTATGTCGCGGCCGTGGCGTAGATTATATGCGTTGTTCGCGACCAGACATAGCGCACACATTTGACTCATTGTTTTTATAAATGTGTTCCAATTTTGCTTTAATTATAAGAACATCGTAATCTACTCTATTCCAGACTATCCACGCCGTCACGGATTAACGAACTAACATATTAATAAAAACTTATAGCATTTAATCTATGTTTACTTCTGTTCGGTTCAACGTCATTGGTAAAGAAAATAAGAGTGTAATAAAATTATACGCAGTTACTTGTATATAAAAACATAGAGTTCCACGCTTACAACTCGCGTTGCGGTTATTGGTTGAATTCGAGCAAACTAAAGAAAACTCCACGTGGAATATTTTAAAATCAATAAAAAATATTTAATATTTTTAATGCAATGCTGGACAATTAACATTAATATTAAATCAACATGAAATGTGTCACATTTAAATACATGTTGCAATTACGAATATACAATAAATATTGTTTTGTAACAATATTATTTCAATTATTATTAAATACGAGTATTGACCTAATTAGTTATGATAAAAAGACACGCAATAAGAAATTGAATTTATAAATACTATACAATAAGGAAAATTATGCCTAAGTACATACATAATCAAACAAAACAAATGTCGAATTATTAAAATATATACCTACAATTTATGAATTGTTGAAATATCACGGACATGTGTTTCGATTTATACTTTCATGACTCATGAGCATTGCGCATAATAAATACTGAAAATTCTTGAACTATTGGTATTTAAGAATCTAGAAAATTCCACGTAAATATTCCGATATTTATGCAGCCATATTGTACAAATGTAAGACCTAACAACAGTTTAATTAAGTGAGAATAATTATGAGTAATGGTTTGTTTGGAAAAAGAAAAATACCATCGCCATGCGTCAGGCATGAAATAAAGCGTCCACATAAGCGTGGCAAACGCGCCGTGGCGAACACAATTGTTTCGTGAATTCATGAATGTAGTATCGAATCTAGCAATTTATATTACGGTATCATTGCTACATCGCTCGGTTTTTAATTCGCATTTTCTAATGTATTCAATTTTTTTTGGAACAACCTATTTGCATTTTGTTAACATTTTATGAAAAGGGACACTCGAAACCATTTTCTTTTTTATTTATATTTTAACTGTGTTCTATGGTTTCTTTTTTTTTATGTGATGATCTTGTATGTGTCGTGTGCTAAATAAATTCTATTCTATTCTAAAAGCATTTTCAGTAGGTATTTGACAAAGGCCATCTCTGGGAAAAATTCCCTGATCGGTAAAATTCCTCAATATTCTCTCAATGTCAGGAAACACGATATTATTGTCGCACGCGGAATCTTACCGGGAAATGTCTCTAATATTAGCGGAACGATCTAAATTCTACAAAAAGATAATGCCGAACAACGTGACTTATTCACGTTTTATCAATGTATTACATCAGAAGATATACATTTTCTTGAATCACATTTGAACGGAGATAACGGATAATATACAGACTACAATGTAACGTGGCAAAGGTGACAATAACAAAGTATATCTGAAGAACTGCTTTGATTTTCCTACTCAACGAGTTCGAATTTTGATAAAAATAGCGGTTTATTTTTATTCTAGATAGACCCCAGTTTAGACCTGGGTGCCTATTCTAGTAGAATGACCGAGATTATGTAAAATGTCAAACCTAAATAAAATTAGACGTCAGTCTTTTTATGGAAACGTTAGCAACAGACTTAGTGGGCGAAAACCGCTAAGAGTCATACAATGACAGTGATTCAGTATCCTTGAATAATACAACTAAAACACTTAGCACACATCAACCCGGAAAGGTATCAACCGTACCTATCAACTCGAGACAGTCAGTATTCTTCTTCTGACACTCCATACTGCAAACACACACTTATCCGCACTGTAACGTAAACGCCTCGCCTCGCGGTTGACAGCGCGCGTAAGGCGATGACAGCTCGCGAAAGGCGATACTGTGTTGATCCCTTTCCGAGTTGATAATTAGTCTCTCTAACCTAGCATCATAGCGGCAATAACAAAACAAAAGACGGTGATTAAAAAAGAACAGCCGCTCACCTTTTCCGAGTTGATAAGTCTAAGAACACCCTCCTTAGCATCATACAGATTACAGCAATAACAAAAGACGGTGATTAAAAAAAGAACAGCCGCTCACCTTTTCGAAGACAAGATAGAACTTGTCGGTGTCCTCAAAGAATTCAATGAGCTGGATTATGTTCGGGTGTCCCTGGCAGTAGTGGAAGGTCTCCACCTCGCGGAACACCCTGGCGCGGGCGTGCCCCGGCACTTTGTCGATGATCTTGACGGCGAACTCCTGCTCCGTGTAGATGTTGACGCACGTCTGCACCGAAGCGTACGCGCCCTCGCCCAGCACCTCGCCTGTTAGTTTGTACAGGTCTGCGGACAAACATTTAAACGTTATTACACTGTGGAATACATTGATATTGACTAACCGCCTCTGTGGTCTGGTGGTAAAACCACCTGCTTTAGACGCAGAGGTCCCGGGTTCGATTCCCAGTGGGGGCAGATTTTTCTGTTCGGTTTGGTTAGTGATAGGGCTTGTTCTAAGTCCGCCTGGCTAGCTACCACCATCTTACCTAAGTCTGTCGCAATAACAACAATGTTAACAGCATTGTTGTGTTCCGGCAGTTATAGGTAAGATAGCCAGTTCCTCCGTGGTTGCGGATTCCGGGTGAAGCTCGCTTCCACATTCGGCCTGATCGTCACTTACCATCAGGTGAGATACAGGGCAAGAACTTCCTCGTTGTGGATAAAAAAAAATCTGATAAACGGGACTATTCCCACCTCTCGTTCCCACCACTGCAACTCCTGTGTATCCTGGATCTACAGCTTGACCGCCATAAAAACCCAACCAATGAAGGTCAAGTTTGTCCCGGGGGAAAGTTAAACTGCCATTGGACCCGCAACAAAATTCATCAGAAGAACATAGGAAACATTCGAAATTAAGGTTCGACCGTTCGACTTAATTCATTCTCCATTGCAGAGCGGATAACAGGTGACGAACAGAGGTTTAGCAACTCTAATATTCTGATAAACAGGGCTCCGAAGCTTCGAATGTTGTCATCACTCTCACTCAAAGCGAGATACCAGCATGACTGGTGGTGACGAAACTACGTAAACAGCGTTTCGGAGTAACCCTGCAATGTTAAGCATTGCAGATTTTTAGTCAAAAGACGGCCATTACTGGACAAAGGCATCCACCAAAGATTTCCTCAACGACTGGAGTTGCGCTTCTCGCATTCAGGTGCCTCCCGTGACCTTCTCTAGATCGTCGGTCCATTTAATGAAAAGCCTGCCTATACTAAATTCGCTTTATATTTATTTATTCATATCTCTCTAGCCTCTATAAAAGACAGCTTAAAAAATTCGTACAACAGTAAGAAAGTTATGACATAAGAGACGCTAGAACGAGATAAACACGTCCATAATAGGTGTAAATAATCTAAAGGTGTAACACAATGCACCGAGCCGTATTACATTATTGTTTGTTTATTTACATTAGGGATTCTTTAGGAGTCTAGTTCGGAATGAGTGGCCTAATTATTGCCAGCATACAATAGACATCAACACACGTAGTTATTTATTTGGTTACATAACTGTTATGTCATTCGGGTGTGCATGTTGATAACTCCGACGTAGCATGCGTGAATCATATATTTTTGGCAATGTCTTTGAACTTATAACAGATAACATTTATACACGGTATGGATTTAGGGCCCGATATAATTGTTTCCGCTGTATTATACGCTATTTTTACATGACTTGGTAACCCAACACAACAACTGGGGAAAAATTGGCCTTCGACGGTTGGTCGATTAGTCACACTTTTGTAAGTTTCCTAAATTGAAAGTAAATTCGTCGTAAAAGTAAACAAGAACGATTAATGTGTCACAAGAAATATACGAAGTGTGACGAATTTACACAATACATGCTTTTCTCGGTGACGAGACGTTTCGACTCCGTGGTAAATCGTCAATAACCTGTTGGGCTTTTATTGGCGATCAAGCTGTAAATCTTCGCTCGCAGAAGTTACAGCATGGGGGACGTGAAGTGTGAACACTGAAATCCCGTAAGTTGGAAAATCCTGGTTGTGGTGGTTGCGCAGGATTTTCAGACAGCAACAAAAGATGGAAACAGTCCCGTAACTTGGAAAATCCTGGCTGCTCAGAAGTTTTTTGTCAATGGGAGTAAAAGTAATAAGCAAGCTTTGGAAAATTCTGGCTATGCAGGAGTTTCAGTATAGGAGCAAGAGAGCAGGAGTTTCAGCAGTGGAAACGGGAAGTAAACTGAACAGTTCCGTAACTTCGAACAGCCTGGCTATGCAAGAGTTACTAGTGAGAACAAGAGGTGGGAAAAGTCCCGTAAATTGCAAAATCCTGCGCAGAAGTTTCAGCAGTGAGATTAAGAGGCATGAATGGACACGGGGTGGTATATTCCCGCCGTAACTTGGAAACACGATGTGACGAGATGTCGGAGTCGGGGATGGGCCCGGTGCGGCCGCTCCTGGCTGAGCAGGAGTTGCAGCAGGGATGTAAGGTGGGGTGGACTAGTACCTTGGAAACACGATGTGACGACCGAGCTGCCCGAGCGCTTCTTCCTGCGGCGCTTCCTGCGCGCCTCCTCCTTGCGGCGCGCCAGGTCATCGGAGTCAGGGATGGGCCCGGTGCGGTCGCTCCTGGCTGAGCAGGAGTTGCAGCAGGGATGTAAGGTGGGGTGGACTAGTACCTTGGAAACACGATGTGACGACCGAGCTGCCCGAGCGCTTCTTCCTGCGGCGCTTCCTGCGCGCCTCCTCCTTGCGGCGCGCCAGGTCATCGGAGTCAGGGATGGGCCCGGTGCGGTCGCTCCTGGCTGAGCAGGAGTTGCAGCAGGGATGTAAGGTGGGGTGGACTAGTACCTTGGAAACACGATGTGACGACCGAGCTGCCCGAGCGCTTCTTCCTGCGGCGCTTCCTGCGCGCCTCCTCCTTGCGGCGCGCCAGGTCATCGGAGTCAGGGATGGGCCCGGTGCGGTCGCTCCTGGCTGAGCAGGAGTTGCAGCAGGGATGTAAGGTGGGGTGGACTAGTACCTTGGAAACACGATGTGACGACCGAGCTGCCCGAGCGCTTCTTCCTGCGGCGCTTCCTGCGCGCCTCCTCCTTGCGGCGCGCCAGGTCATCGGAGTCAGGGATGGGTACCGGCGCGGACGGCTCGGCGGTCCGCGGGCTCTCGTCCGACTCGCGCTCGCTGCCTGACTGGCTGCTGCAGCGGCCGACGCCTGTGGAAGATGAGACGAATTGTTATCAGGATGTTTGCGTTTAAGATAGGTAAACTTATTATAAACTACTGCCTCAGGAAGAATTTTATCCACAACCTTTCCCTTGCAGGTTGCGACTGCTCTGATTGCTGAGCTACGGAGACAATGAGTAAGCCCGTTTTAAAATTAGTTAAGGAACACGGAAAGTCAAAAGTCTGTGATATTATTGTAAATAGGCAATTTCAAATATCCACCTAGTGGAAGGATTGCGGGCCTCTCGAAACCTTATTTTATGTAGAAGTAAATGTAGACATTTGGACTCTATTCAGAAACCTAAGAGCGACGACAAATTAATTCATTTATTAGCAAGTTTTAAATGATTGGCGCCGGAGAATCACACGCACACATCTAGACGCAAACGCAGCGGTTACGCCGGAAGCCGTGAGAGAAGCCTAAGCAAGGAAGAGAGAGGCGAGGCGCTGCCTATCTGGCGCCGAGTTGCTAAGTGTACGCCGTACGATAAACCTCGTTTATGCACGATAGTTGGAAATTTAATTTAAAATACACAACTTAAGTAAACCAAATACCTATTCAATAAATATTTCAGATCAACAGATATTTCAGAAACAAATAGCCACTTATGTAAAATTACTAGTCACTTAAGTGCCTCCAAAAATATGATATTAATCTATTTTTATTACATTAATTCATAAGAAACAAACATTCCACTGAAGTTATTTGCACATGTTTCATGATTATGTCGCTGTAGGGCAATGAAAAACAAAATGAGTCATTCTAGAAACAGTCTAGACATTATGCGAACGGAAACAGTTGATATGACAAATGAATAAAAGGACACTTATGAAAGCCTACACATTATGTAAATATCCAACCATTATGGCAGTGAAACTTGTTTAGAAAATGACAACAGCCACGTTGAAAAGAGCGTTGTACATTCTAGAACATCGGTTAACTACCTACCTATGTTGAACAGCAGTTGGTAGATAGGAAAACATGCGCATGCAAAAAATATTCGTGCAAAGAACGACATCCCCGGTTTTTGTCGGCGCATGAATAACGCGAAACATTACGTATGCAACGTTGCACACAGCACAATAACAGGCAGAGGCGAGCCCATGTCGACAGCTCTCACTTTAGTTTTGGTGCCAGCGAATTGTAAAAAGTTTTCACCATGTTTGGATTTCAAATTATCGCGAGAGCAACAATTGTATGGTAAAATATTTGCTGGTACTGTACAAATAAGGTCCTAAAACCTGAAAAACAAGTCGAAATTTTGGTTTGCAGATATCAGAATGTGCGAACAAAAAGAAATTATCATTTTGCATAATGGAGTCCCGAACAAAAGTCCCCATGGAAAAAGGGTAACACGTCAGTGATAATAGTATACAGCTGAGAGTCGAGTGCAAGCTGAGTTGGCAAACAAAGCCGGTTCAACGACCTACATGGCCGCACCCAGAGCTGCGCGCACGCAGTACGCGCCCACGTTACGCGATCGTTCGACTTCTCGTCGTAAAAACATTAGACTTAGTTGCAGGGTTACCGACTCCCACACCATTGCACCTTGTAGAACAGGCCACCAACGGGCCTAACCTCAACACGATTTTTCAGGGTTGAATTAATATCGGCAACTTTACATGACATTCGAAACTGACACCTTGATAGAGTAACCCATTGTGTAATCTTGCTAACCTATTGTTTGTGCAAAACTGGTCTAAACGTTTGATCAGAAATGTCTAGACCACCTCTAAATTCCAGAAATCCAGAAGATAAAAACTTCAAGTTGCCAACCCTGCTTGTTGCTACCAAAGCTATCGATGTTGCGACCTGGAGATGGTCTCGTTACCACAGCAGATAGATATCGCGCTTGTGGCTTGAATCAGAAACCGGCATTTGCCCCTTTTTTGGGATTTTGGGTTGAATGAATTGCTAAAAGTCAGTCAGTCAAAACTATCAGGAATACCATGAAATACTTTACAAAAAATTTTCAAAATCCCAAATGTACCATTTGTTTGTTGATATTCTTCTCTCTTTGTTTCAATTATCATAAAATAAATGTTACATGCACGTGCATTAAAATTCCTTTTTGCATATAAGTACAATAAATGGTGCGTGCAATTTACGTGTATTTATGCGTTCAACTATTGGTGATAAGCGAAACTTAACAATTATAACCACGCGATGACCTCAGCGTGGGACGTATAGCAACGCAAATGCGGCGCAATAAGCAAACGCGAACAATCGCGCCCGAGTCACGCCCACCCATACAATCGCCCGTTTCTACACTACGCTTCCTGTTTACCCACTGAATTGTTCTAAACTCTAGCTGAAATTAATACCCTATTTATTATTAATGCTCACAATATTTGTAAACATTGCTTACTCATTACAGAACATAACAAACAAAGGAAAAGCTCATATCGAAACAGTAAACGTTGTGAGTCATCGATCGCCTGATACTGAAACCTAAATTCGGTGTCTTACAAAAAGTGTCACCCACGTTCAACCTTGCTAAACGTAATAATCAAGTCAACGAATCTGAGGAATTTCTGCAACAAAGAACCGTTTACTCAATAAAGTGGACAACTTAAATCACGCACTAATAAATTAATGAAAATTCGTACTCATCATTGTAACCGTTACGACTCGCATGCATGAAATCGTTTTTAAGACGGAAATTACAACACTTCCTCGGTGTATCGAAATGGAGATCAGCGGATTCAAATGCTAATTTGGATTTGGGGATGTGTGTGTAATATTGATACAGGCAAGTTGTTTTCAATCTTAGCGAAGTAACCGAACACTTGGCTGGCAGGTTGTGCGGACTAGTGCGTCGCGGTCGCGCTCGCGTGACACGACACAAGCTGGGCTCCACGTGGCAGACCGCTCGCCAGCCAACGTGGTCGGTTATGTAAAACTTCTGAGCACAAATCATGCCTACAATCTGCCCAAAACAACTTAGAAACGCAAACTTTGCTACTCGTTTGCGCGACGACCTTGTTAAAACAATGGACGACCCGAATAAAGTTGTACTCGAATTTATGTAGCTCAGGACAAAAGGCAATTACAGAATTTATGTTTTGGTGCCGAAAAACGAAGTGTTATCAGTGGAAAAACAAGAATGTAAGAATTCACGAAAACTTCCTAGTGTCCAACTATGGCCAAAACAAAATGTGGGTGTGACATACAAGAATCGTGCCGTGACTGTCTCATTGACCGAATAATAAGATAATCAAAAAGATTGATCATACCGCTTTAGAAGTTGATAGAATAATGACATCATCGACATAGTCCAAATGTTAAACCAACCAAAACCAAATTGTAGTTGTATCATGAAATTATTTGAGGCAAACAATGAAGTAATCCTACTAATTCCTACTAATATAATATTATAAATGCGAAAGTTTGGATGTCATGATGTCTGGATGTTTGGATGTCTGGATGTTTGTTACTCTTTCACGCAAAAACTACTGATCGGATTTTCTTGAAACTTTACAGTATTACTGTTTATAACCCAGATTAACATATAGGCTATAATTTATGACGATCTGTGACATCCTAAATTTCACGCGGGTGAAACCGCGGGCAAAAGCTAGTTAAAGAATAAAATTTTAATGATAGATAAACAGTCAATAGAAACTACGAGTACAATAGCAGATTCAGAAAATCGCAAACGTTTTCAAAAACGTGTATTAAACGTGATGCAAGAATTAATTTTATTCAGAAACAGTTAAGTAAACTTAAGTAGATACTCCAATCAACACCTCATCGCGCTTACAGCCTCTTGCGTCAGCTCGTACCTACTTCCTTTATTTATTTAATTCTTAGTAAAACGGGTTCCATGTCGAATTTTGATTTTAGTATTTTTCAAAGTTTCGTTCCAAGTAAAATCGTAGTCGTAACATTCGTGCCCTAGGTCTGGGGTTTCAACTTTCTAATCTGGTCGGTGGCATTAGCGCTTGTCCACGAATGCACTCTCTACCACGATTAGGGTTTCTGCTCGAGCTTTCTCGAACTCGAGAAAACTCGAGAAATTTGGCTTCATTCGAGACGAGAAAAAAATTACCAGAGCTCGAGAATTCTCGAGTTTCGATTTCGAAGCTTTAATATTCTTGAAAGCCTATATTTTCTTAGACAAAAGTAAGTTTTTAAATATTTAATAGGTTAACATTGCTTTTAGACTGGCCTAGTCTTTCCTTTTTTACCTGATTTGATTTGCAAGTAATAATCTCAATCGAAACTAAGTAATAATGTTCACCAACGAGTATGCTATATTTATTATGTATGTTTAAATCTGACTGATTTAAAGACTGAATTTGTTAACTGTCTGTTAGGTTAGGTACTCGTGCCTCCTCGTAAAGTTTATTCAAGTCGTTATGTTTAAGAAATTTAAAAATTCATAAAAAAGTTTTTTGTTTATAAAAAAACTATTTATCGTAATTTTGCTATTTAGACTTGTGTTCTTTGGAAAACAAGTGATTCAATTGTAGCTCCAGATTTTTATTGTTATTTATCCTTAAAGTACACGCGACTTTATAACTTTTGTTATGATTATTAGTTAATTTTATTATGAAAGAAGATTTTATTTTTCGTTCCTTTCCTTACCAAAATAAGTGGTACTAAATTCTAATATTGATTGTTGTGCAATAAAAGTAGGTATATTAGATTAAAAAACCTGTGTTTTTATTAAATTTCAACCGATTTCAACAGTTTTCATTAAAAGACTCGAGACCCGAGAAAACTCGAGAATTTGACCTCGAGAATTCCCGAAACTCGAGAAAAAAAATTGATCGAGAAATCAGAAACCCTAACCACGATGATCTAAACCTATTATACTTTTGTTTTACGAGTATATACCCCTGAGCGGGTACAAACTACGAAACAATTCACTTTCTAATTGCATGCAAATGCCCTTAATCATTCACTCTCATTTGTTCGTGTTTCAATCGCGTGCATTATGCTGTCACTCACAGGTACCTCTACATTATCGTGATTTTAATAATCGCGAAAATATGCATAGCTGTCTTGAGCTAATAAAAAAGCCTATTCTTCAATACAGTTATTATCAACCGTTTTAAAAAGTGGTATTCAACTACATGCGATTGCAGGTCCAGTAAAAAGTTACTGCAGTCATTTCTAATTCAGTCCCGTAAATCGTCACAGTTAATTGCTATCTTCAAAGAGCAAAGTCGACTGGGCTAGAAGTAGCCGGCTGGTAATATAAATTGCCAACTCGGCCTGGCACAGCCACCGAACTAAACCAGATAGCATCTCGGTGAAACTTCAACTAGGGCGTTTTAACTATACCTCCTGTGCATACGCAACCACTTTCACTGATCACCGATCTATCCCTCCCGCCTAATGAACATAAATTATGGGCACGGCTAAATAAAACTATTCGAGAACCATACACGGAGATGCTTATGGCTTCTGCGTGATTCATAAGCGGGCTCAGTATTTACGCTTCGAATCGAATGTTCTTCATTCCTATTTTCCTATGGCCTTTCAGCCCTTTTGTTTGTGTTAGTTGACCCAATTAAATTATAGAGCCACAGCGTGATATTGTTTGTTCATAAACCACTTAGAGGTCGCAATATTCACTGGTGTATTAAGCGGTGAATACTCAAGTTCCGAGCCAACAATTTTGGGTCTAGATTTCGGTCATGAACAAAGGTTCAAAGGGGTTCCACAGAACGCGTCCAAATCGATCGGCAAAAGTAACGCGCAGTAGGAACACCAAGGGGCGCGGGGAATGTTAGCTGCTGTATAGCTCTACATACAAACAACCTACTAGCGGAACGAGCATAAGACCGTCACGGTCAAGGTTACTCCGTTTACAAAGTCGATAGATACGAATGACTGACTCTTAATCAACATTGATTGAATTTGTGAGACGGCAACCACGAAACCGATACCTACTGGTAATATGAATTACGTTATGTAAGATGCATTCCTTGTTCGCGTGGCAAGAGCATACCTACCTTCGTCTTTCTATGTTGACAAAATTACGCGACCTAGTTTTTCCCTAGCTCGTTCCAGAGCTTGCGTCATAGGCGCGAGGAACGATATCACAGTACAAAAGGAGTTAGTGGAGCTTTTCATTTCAAGGATAAAAGTGGAAGGAAGTGCGTAACAATGATACAACTTCCAAATCGTATTATATAAATGCGGTAACTCCAGTGCGCAGTTTAGTTTTTAGTGGGTGACCTTGACAATGAACGCTGGGGCGTCGCGCTTCAGCGGCCATGTTGAAATAATAAAACCGAGGAGAGTATGAAATTGCATTCATTATCAACGCATTCTTTGTGTGTTTAATTTTTTCTTTCACGCTGTTAGTAACCGTATGTACAGGTAATTAAAGGCTAAGAATTTTAATCAATTACTTCTAGAATCGCAAGGTTAATTACGATGCGATATTGAACGGCGGTTAATAGTGGAGTCAATAACATAATTTTCTAGAATAATTTAAATAAGTGTTACAAAATCCAACATACGCGAAATAACTTCACGCAACGAAGATGTTACAATTTCGAATGAGGATATTATGAATGGAAACATCGTAATCAACGTTTCGCTTGTTAAAGTTAGGTACTTATAATGTAGGAATGAAAAAATATAGTCTCATTAATTTTACGGTCGTATCAAGAAAGGAAACCAAAATTAGCAGTTTGCTAAATATTCTAACAACAAAACCTAGCGAATACGAAAATGGGAACAGAGCGAGTTAAACCGCCGCATCATGCTGACAATACAAAATTTTACAGAGTAAAAGTGTCGTAAGCATTACTCAATTCTAATCCAATAATGATTAAGACGTTTTACTTTTAACAAATAGCATCGATACTGAAACATAACACTCCAAGCGTAGCTAAGTGGAAAAAGCACTAGAAATTCAATTTCCTTTCTCATTGCGAAATATCTGTCTCATGAAAAAGGTGAAGTGCCGGTCAACGTACGATTCTCGGAGCAACTTGAACCCTGACATTTGAAACTATATCGGATTCATCATTTGCAATTTTCAACACGCTTGACTCAAAATTACGTGTTTACTTCGACAACTTGACGATTACTTTGCACGTACACGTTTATTTAAATGATCTTGACAGGCAATTCCGAGTAAAGACCATAAAACCAACTACAGTGGGTAGGCAACCAAACAATAACGATAACCACGTCATAAATCGTAAACTCACAAAGTATGAGTTGCAGACTTGCAAGTTGAGGTCGGTCAGTGATACGTGCATTAGATATAAATAAACGTGCACCGACAATAAAAGATGTAGTTCATTCACAAAAACGAAATATTCAAAAACAAAACTAGGAGTCACGTTTTTATTTATTACAACGTTAATTTGATTAATAACATCAATATAATATTAAAAAGTAATACAAACCATGCAATCTGCATTAAAATACACATTTTACAGATTGAAGCAAGTGTTATCAATGCAAACAAGGTTATTCTTATTGGTGTGAATGATGTTCAGCAAAGAAATGATAATTCCAATGTCCTTGTCAAAACAGAACAGTTTCTAAGTAAACATACACAAGGAAAATTTGCTTTTGGAGATGATTTTGATTGATTAAGGTCGTTTAAATATATCAATGATTTGAATTTCATTGAATTTATTCAGAAAAATTGCATTGTCTACATCTACGTCTAGACTAAGATACCGATAGCAATTATGGTTTCTAATAAGCAGTAAATAAAATATAATCTACAGATATTTAAAAAATATTGAATAGGTTTACTGCGCCTGTGTCAACTACAAAAAAGCCGGTCGGACGAATCAGGTGATACAATAACAAAATATTGAACGGCGGCGAAAACCCAAATTAGACGAGAAACATAAAATACAAAGTAAATAAAATTCAACTCACCGCTATCTACACTCTCTTCTGAAACCTTCTTCACCATCTTGATAATTGCTTGATGCGTTGATACAGCGATATTGAAATATTGCGAGTAGGTGGTACTACTCTTGAAAAGCCGCTTTCAAACTTGTGCGGCCGCCTTCTCGACGTGAAATCGGAACGACGTTTACAGTAGATAGAAAATAAACGTCCAAATAAAAATTAAAAGCACCACTGTCGAGAAGGATTTACGGAAAGTGTGCCGGAAGGTAATAAACAAACACTGCTAGAAGGCGGAATGAAAAAAAACTGCTGTTATTGCTAACGATCCATCCTACACACGCCCGCCCGTCTGATGTTCTGAAATCCAACTGACGAAGTTGGGGCCGCTAAGCCGGCTCGACCCGGCGCACGTATACACCCGCGCCCGCGCCCCGCGCAGCCCCCGCCGGTCGCGATATCTGCGTCGTTTTGCCCTCTCACACCAGCGCATGCGTACTCCCTCACTCTCAATCCGCTGACGTGTTTATATTTTTTGTCGCTTATTTTTTTACTCATCATCTGGTGTAATCCATTGGTCTCGGACTCTCAGTCAGGCTGGTACTTGGTTTTCTTCCTGTTTTACGTTACGCATAACAATGAAGAACAAAAAATGCGCGTAGTAGATAAGTAATTCATGAAAAAATAGCAAACTTCTGGGAAATCTGAATGGGAAAAGTAGAATAATCCAGGAAATCAATAAGAAATCCACTCTAAGTCCTGAATTCCTGATTGGATTCTTAGGTGGAAATCTACTTTCAGTCCAATTTGTTTAAAATTAGAACGAACCATTCATTCATTCATCCAAAAACAAAATTGTTAGCTAGATTTTGAATAGCTGACGATACATTTTAAGAAGAAAAGATACATGGAAGCAATCCACATTTGATATACACTACTCCAAAGAAGGCTAATTATAAAGATCAAACAGGATTATGTAAGGACACTAGGTATTAATGGAAGTAGGTATTGCGTCATCCGCCCATAACAAAATAAAAACTGCCGCAGAATAATTACTACAAGGTGTGTTCGAATATTCGGTTTAAGAGATTCTTTGATTTTTTTCAAACGCGTTATGCAATAGGGAGTCCTTTGTCTTGGTAACCCTCCCATGAATGACCTTCACAGGGCGTTTGTTGACAAACAAAATACAGGAGCGACTGCACGACGCAAAACGCACGTGGTACGGGCCAACCGGTCCAACCGGCAGCCGGCGCGGCCATGTTTGTTGTCACGCCATCAATCCGTCTCACTCCCACACATCTTGCTTCTCGCTCGCGTGCCTACGTGACTGACAATAACAAAAACATAACCCTTCCTAAACGAAAAACACGACTGCAGATAGTAAATGCGTATGTTGGATAACCCTCCGAGATTGTTGACGTTATAATCTGGTTCCACTACATTTTATTCCTCCTTAAATGTATTGGAATGTTCGGGTGGTTCGGCCACGTAGGATTATTTACTATAATATCCTTTGGATAAAGAGTAGATAAACATAACAATAACATATCACGTGATATACATATTTATAACATCGTGTGAGCTAAATGCTATATCTATGGATGATTACAACCAACGATGAAAAATTATTTCAAAAATTAAGAATATTGCAAATTGTGACTCGAAAATTATATTTCTAAGTTATCCATGAGATCACCATTCTGTCAAAAACTACACTTCAAGCAAATTAACATAAACTCATTACTGAAGCCAAAGGTTGTGTAATTTGCAATTTGTTATTAACTACCGCACATTGGAGGTTTCGTTGGATCACTCTCATTTTTCGGAGAACCGCAAAAACGATTCGAGTTACCCCCTATTGATTTCCTGGAACGGCTACTACAACTGCGTGTTGGGGTTACTCCGTAGTATTTGCTAATGAATAGTATTTACAAATTACAAGTTGCGTGAATACCCTTTATTTCGTCGCTTTTTTGCTTTACTGCTGGACTTTGATTGTGATTTAGGGCTATTTGTATTACACTCCCTGCGCGGTAAGCACCGAGACCACGGTAATAATATCATACAGTATTGTAACTTCATATAAACAGACGAAACGAGAACTTTCTTTCGAAATTCAAATCTCGGTATGCGCTCGGTATGCAAAAGTCGGGGGTGTCGCGAATGTGCCGAATGGACGTCGGTGCCTAAATGTTAAAAATGACAAAACTGATTGCATTTGAGTGACCGTCATTTACGGTCAAATTGTTCAAAAACTAGTCAAATTGTCATTTTCAGTCAGTTTGATTTGAAATGAAAATTATATTGTATTAAACCAGCTTTTGCCCACGACTTCGCTCGCCCGAAATTTACGTAACAGATCATTATGATTATTAAAGTTTCAAAATTATTTACTAATCACAAAACAACACACATTTTTAACCTATTCCATTCACAAAATATTTTGTTTGTCTAACTAAATAAAAAATACAATCACAAAACTAGATAGAAATTTCTAAGTAGGCAGATGTAATTAAACTGGGTACTGTAGGTGGGCAGCCCTATCGCATGTTGTCATACTGTGACGTACCGCGCGACTGTTGACATTTATTTTAAAAATATGGCCGAGTTGGAATACTGTATAGATAGTATTACCGTGCCGAGACCGTTCCTTTGTTCGCTTCCAGTGTAAGTGCCTTCACAAAGGCACTCCTTACTTTGTGCTTCTGTTTTACCGCAGTTGTTGTTACATTCTTATTCTTAGTTTGCAATATACGAAGTAACTGTATTATTTAAATAGGCAGCTGCTATAAACTTACCACATTTTAACCAAGTAATTTTAGTATCCAATGTAGGTACAAACTTCTACAAACCTTTCTTCAAGACGCTTCGAACTATGGAATCGATGTTGAAATCATCTCCGTGCATGATGAGAAACTGGAACAAAGAGAAAGAGTTCAGTTTGTTTCTGGCTATGCAAATTATGTTCAAGCTTGTAACGTTTGACTTTTTTTTTTTTTTTTTTTTTTTTAATTTGGCTTACAAAACTGGGTACAATCAAATATCATGCAAAAGTAAGTAATGAGTGTAAAATCAATTCATACTGATTTACCCTACTCGATGTAAGCACAGCATGCATATAAAAATAATTAATTAAACCACCTTAAATTAAGAATATTACACAGATGAACCAGATCTTACATTTACACAGAACTAAACAAAATTTGGACTAATTTTAGGCTATTTTAAATCAAGAATAGCCGTATTGATACGGCGCTTGGCGGAGACGAGAGAACCAAAAAAGATGTCAAAGACAAAACGCATAGAATTGTAGCAAGTACACATGCGATGTAACGGGGAGTGCTGACCGAGTCGAGTCCTGCACGGAGGGATAGAAAACGTCTTTCGATTTTGCACGCGGCTGCTACTACGAGGTACGGCAAATTTTAAACGTTCCAGTATATCCGGGGCATCGATAAGACCATTAACGACCTTGAAAAGGAAAAGTAAATCAGAAGCTTTCCTACGGATGTGCAATGGAGTAAGACCATAGTGTGAAAGGCGAGCCTCATAGGACTGTAGTGAACGACACATGTTATCTGAATAGCTAAGATGATACAAGAAGCGTTTTTGTACACGCTCCAGTCTATTTGAATGGACTTGGTAGTCGGGGCTCCACACCGGGCTACAGTACTCCAGTATACTGCGGACTAGACTGTTAAAGATAACAACTGTGATCTGAGGTTCTTTCAAAATATTCATCTGTCGTGCGATGAAGCCACTGAGCTTAGAGGTCTTCTTAATAATAGAATCTATGTGCTGATTAAAAGTTAATTTGCTATCGATTATCACTCCTAAATCTCTTATACTGGAAAGTTCGATCAAAGGGACCTCGTTAATAAAGTAGGTTGAGGTAATTGGAAGTAATTTTCGTGTAAATCGAATCACAAAACATTTACCCGTATTCAAAACCATGCCATTAAGTTTACACCAGTCCTGAACCTTACCAATATCCACCTGCAAAGTATGAACATCATCAGTATTATTAATTTCGCGATAAATTTTTAAGTCATCAGCATACATTTTGAACTGCGAGTTGATACAAGAAGATAGGTCGTTGATGAATAAGACAAAGAACAAAGGTCCTAAGTGGGAGCCTTGAGGTACCCCTGAAGGCACCAGTTGTGCTACTGAAGTATGTCCATACAAGTTGACAATCTGAGAGCGATTTTTGAGATAAGACTCACACCATCTGAGCAGCGATCCGTGAATACCAACGCCTTCCAGTTTCAGCAGCAGCANACTTAACAAAGCAATTACATAACCGACTCTTCCCACCTTCCCTGGGGAGCTTTTATAGCCAGCTATAAAGTTGTACGTTTAAAATTTATAACATGGAGGCTTTGAAACTGTTTAAAGGATTATGAAACGAGTGACTTCAGGACAAGGTCTACTACCGACTGCATTTAGGCACGATTCCCGAAACTCGTAGAGGGTCACGTACACAGTTGTTACACACGTATACATACTTATAGAGAAGTGGGGTTGCACCGGGGTATTCCCGAAGAGCACATTTTTTGTAGGGTCTATGTGTTAAATTTTCAAAAAGAGTGAAAGCCCCGTTGACGAATTAGATTCAAACACGTCATCTATGATGCTCATGCAGCTGCTGCACCTGACAAGTGGATTTACGTACGTTTTTGTTATTCTCTATTCCTTACCTGTAAGAAATTAGGGATCAAGTCCTGACAAGTTGTCCATTGTAAATCCAAATAATAAGTAAGCATATGCGGGTCCCGTTTATTATGTAGAGACGCATACAAAACGAGCTTAGTACCTATGAAGAATATTTTAAACAAATTATGTGGATTGGCTGAATATATTTGAGTAAGTATTCTGAAGCAGCGAGAAGTCAACAAACCGTTTACGTAATTCACAATTTGTCAACGTTTAGCGAATGAACACTAAAAACCTTGCACAAACACAATGTCGGATGATAGCTAATGTTTGCTGTGTAGTCAGACTGCCAGGCACTAACTAATTATGACGCTCTTGAAGCAGATTTCATGCAAAATATCTAATTATTACTGAGCAGAAAATAACAATGCCATAAATGGGGGCCAGGCTAGAGAAAATCATAATCATAATAGAGAATCTGAAATACCTACTATACCTCTTCAGACAGGGTGTCCCAAAAAGTAGTGTCAAACCGAAGCCCAGAGGTAGAGCATCACCAAATCACCGTGACAGTTTATATATGTTTGATAGTTTTCGAGTTATGATTTTTTTTATCCTGTAGATATCAGGTATTTAGGGTATTTCAGCGGCGTCCTTTTCATTCTTATTCTATAGTTTTCACATTTTTGTGCCTTTCCTATTTTGATATTTTTGGCAAACAAGTTTAAA